CAGCTTTACCCGTTTATAACCCGTCTTAATGGGTTTAGCCCCAAAGCCTAAGTCCTTAAATTGCAAATCTTTGTCCAAAAGCCTTATCACTCCAAACCAAAACATGGAAGCTGAGATCTAGGTCCTAAACACCCAATGAGAACATAAAGTCTCAGACTTTACATCCATGCATGGCCAATTTGGGTTAAAAAGGCCATGATAAAGTCCTTAAGCTTGCATGGGGCTTCCCTGGGCATAAAGTTTGCACCTTTATGCCATGGAACCCCTTCTAGACTCTAGATCTGAAAGGTAAATCACTTGGGACATCCATGTCCCAAGATTCATGCTTCTTGGGCTAAAAACTCCATAAAGATGAAAAGAAGAGATCTAGGGAACTAATGAGCAAGGTTGGAGCTTGCTTACCCGAAAATGTAGCAAATGAGATGTAACCTATGGATCCACTCTCTTCCTCTTGAGCTCCTCAATCTTCTCCTTCTCCTTACAAGCTTAAATCACAACAAAGACTCAAAAATAGCACTCACACACGCACAAAGCTCAAAATGGTGAGTTAGGGTTTTCTGCACAATGGGAGGTGATAAAGGAGGCCACTGTGGATGTTATGTTCCTTTAAATAAGGTGTCAAACCCTTAAAATTAGGGTTTCTTCCTGGAAGACCTACTCGTCAAGGCATGGCTACCCAACCCGTCGAGTAGACTTTAAAACCCGCGCCCCCTTTTTGTCTCTACTTGATGAGTTTGGGGCTACCAACTCGTCCAATCGCCTTGTACAAATGAATAGATTAGGGTTTAAATGTGTACCTGGGAACTGAGCATTACAAATTCGCCAAGATTTACCCTCTTACTCATTCGGTCGTTTTTCATCGAGTCCAGCGTTTCAAGATGTAGATCTAACACCCACGAGCTGGAAAATCGCGTAAAGTTGCCAACTTTACATTCATGCATGCCCCAAAGAGGCTCTAACTCTCAAGGAAATCTTAATAAGGGGTCTTAAGCATTAAAAGCGACCTAGAACTCAATAAAGTTTGCAACTTTTAGCCAAAAGAGGCCACCATACGTCCAGATCTAAAGTGATAACTCCATGAAATGCTCAACCCCACGAACAATCGAAAAATAAGTCAAATATGACAATAAACTTCCAAGGAAGATATCTAAGCAAATAGATGAGCAAGTTTTTGACTTTTTACCTCAAAATAGTAGCTAAACTCAAGGAGATTCAGGATCTATAGCTTTCCCTTCAAGCTAGGCACCACCCACTTCAAGCTCTTTCAAAAAATGAGACCAAAAAAAGCAACTTATAAGCTCACACACTCAACTTGGGGTAAGATGCACGAATTATAGGGTTTTCTAGACAGAGGAGGCAATTAGGGAGGCCATCAATGGGACTTAACGCCTTTAAATAGGGTGCAACACCCTAAAAATTAGGGCTTCATATTCAGCCACCAACTCGTCGAGTTTTCCTCTCCAACTCGTCGAGTTGAGGCCATCAACTTAACGAGTTCCAAAGAAGATTTGCCTTTTTAATGAAAATTCTCATATCTGGGAATCGGGGTATTACATTCATAATATTTTGTTCCCGTTTACGTATTGCTTGGTCCGAAATTTGAAATCGAGATATAAATTTTTTCAGAAAAATGCATTTTTGTAGTCAGTAAAGTTAGTATGAAACAATTTTGATCTAGTTCGAAATGTCTTATTTCGAACATGGCAGTAGTTTTGTAAAGGACTCAAAAGTTTGCTATAAGGAGATAACTCCACATTTTTATGGGGTTTTGTAACCGGCCATTCCAAGTAAAAATATAGTTTTTATTCTATTCTTAATCCACTCAAAGGAATGAAGCACTATTCTATCAACAAAGATATTCTTGGGAACTTTTACAAGCCTAAAACGAGAATATTTGGATATAACCACAACACCGATATACCAGTTATGCTTATAGTCTAGGGATAATGACTTAGGAGGGTAATAACGTTTCATGTTTGTCCATTTTAGGTCCTTACGTATTTTTTGTGCGTATTACACCATTAAGATTATTATAACCGTTTACAAGTAGTTCTTTTAACAGGAAGAAACCGGTAAATGGATTATTTCTAAACGGTTATGACAACCTTAATGGTGTAATGCACATAAAAATATGTTAGGGACCTAATATGGACAAACGGGAAACGTTATTACCCTCCTAAGTCATTATCCCCGTATGAAATTATAAACCCCTATAGTAAATTTTTACTTTTTAAATAAGAAACTTGTAGGTCTTGGGGTTGGTAGTTTGGATGTTTTTAACATCAGCATTCTTTATAAATGGAAATTGCGGTTTCTTAATGACAATGGAGCTCTTTGGGTTAAAATAGTCAAATTTTGTCATGGGAAAGGTGGTGGTTTTTCGAACGATTCGAGAATAGGAGCTGGAGTGGGTGTTTGGCAAAAGATTGTAGGATCAATTAATCATCTCCATGAGAATGGTTGTATTCCTTCTAATTCCATATATAGAGTAGTGGGGGATGGTACTCAAACGAGGTTCTAAAAGGATACTTGGTGCTTGGATATTCCTCTTAGGGGAGCGGTTCAGGAGGCTCTTTGCTTTGGCTTTTAATCAAGATGCTCGAGTAAGTAAATAATGAGATTTGGGGTGATGGAATTTTCATTGGTGTTGGGGGATTACAGGAGGGGCTGAATCGACCCAATTTGATTATCTTGTGGAGATATTAAATCATATTCGCATAGGGGAAATGTCGGATATATGGTCTTGGAAGCTTGAATCGCCGGGTATCTTTACTGTTAAATCAGCAAGGAATTGGGTTAATGATATGACGCTTCCTATGAGTAGTATGCCTACTAGGTGGAACCGTTTTGTCCCTATTAAAATTAACATTTTTTATGTTGTGTGCTTTTGGATCGCATTCCGGTAAAGAGCTAAACTGGTGGAAAGGGGGGTTGTGATAGATTCCTTGTTGTGTCTTGTGTGTCATAATTCTCAAGAAAGTGTGAAGCATTTGTTACTGCAGCAACAAATGTTTCACACTTTCTTGAGAATTATGACACACAGGACACAATAAGGAATCTATCACCACCCCCCCTTTCCACCAGTTTAGCTTTTACCGGAATGCGATCCAAAAGCACACACCATAAAAAAATGTTAGTTTTAATAAGGACAAAACGGTTCCACCTAGTAGGCATACTACACATGGGAAGCGTCATATCATTAACCCAATTTTGTGATGATTTAACAATAAAGATATCAGATGATTCAAGCCCCCAATACCACTTATCTGGCATTTCCCCTATGCGAATAGGATTTAATATCTCCACAAGATAATCAAATTGGGTCGATTCAGCCCCTCCTCTAATCCCCCGACGCCAGTGAAAATTCCATCCCCTCGAATCTCATTATTCACTTGCTCGAGCATCTTGACTAAAGGCCAAAGCAAAGAGCCTCCCGAACCGCTACCTAAGAGGAATATCTATGAACCAAACATCCTTCTAGAACCTTGTTTGAGTCCCATCCCCCACCACTCTATACATGGAATTAGAATGAATACAATCATTCTCATGGAGATGATTAATGGATCCTACAATCTTTTGCCAAACACCCCCTCTAGTTCCTATTCTCGAATCGTCCGAAAAACCACCACCTTCCCCATGACAAAATTTGTCAATTTTAACCCAAAGAGTTCCCTTGTCATTAAGAAACCACCACTTCCATTTATAAAGAAGGTCGAGGTTAAAAACATCCAAACTACCAACTCCAAGACCTACAAGTTTCTTATTTAAAAAGTAAAAATCTATTATAGGGGTTTATAGTTTCATACGGGGATAATGACTTAGAAAGGTAATAACGTTTCCCATTTGTCCATATTAGGTCTCTAACGTATTTTTTATGTGTATTACATCATTAAGGTTGTTATAACATTTTCGAAATAATCAATTTTACCGGTTTCTTCTTGTTAAAAGAACTATTTGTAAATGGTTATAATAATCTTAATGGTGCAATACGCACAAAAAATACGTTAGGGACCTAAAATAGACGAACAAGAAACGTTATTACCCTCCTAAGTCATTATCCCTATAGTCTATAAAGCATTCATTCTCTGTCTCGCCATCACCATGGTATCCATCCAATTGAACCAATTATGGATCATATCAATAAACAAAAATGGGCAATTAAACCACTTGAACATTAATAACCAAACCTGATTAGCAACTTCACATTTCATGAATGAAAAATGATTGACATCTTCCATTTCTTTCTCACAAATCGGGTGCATCGTTGAAGGGGTATTGATTCATTTAGCCTCCAAGTTTATCTTTGTGGGAATTCTATCGTTGAAGGGGTATCGGAACATTTTTGTTCCAATGAGTTATAAACCTCGGTGGGACTCATCTCCAAAATCCAACCATCCAAGTTCGAACTAAAAGCAAAGGTAGCCACTATTTCCTCCAAAGTTGTGCCATTGGTCGGATTTTCATATGTCGTCGATGAGTACAGTCAGTGCTTGGCTTTCATTGGTGGATTCTGTGATGATCATATCTTACAAATGCACAAGACAATTAACTTTCGCAATCTTTTACTTTTGTACGTTCACTACTTTGTAATCAAAAAAATAAATATCCAAATAAAAGATTTGTTTACAGTTTTATTTGCATTTTTTCTACAATTCGTTAACGTTTGTAACCATAGCACATTGTACTTCAACCATGGCAAAACAGAACTAAACAAAAGCAATCAATATAACCCCCGAGTTTCACCATCTAAAACTACCAAACCAAAAGCTGCAAGATCCGATTCATAACAATTTGAAAGATAAATAAATCAAAAAACAAAGCTCTAAACCTGCAAAAAAATGGTCACCATGAGAGAGAGAGAGAGAGAGAGAGAATAAATTTCTTTTTCATTGAAAGACTCTAATTTCCTGTTTCTAATCCTACGCTATGAGAGGGGAATGTGCCTAAAATAATTTAATTCCAATCGAAACCGATAACTAAAGAGCACGATTTCCCACCCACCCAACCCAACCAACCAACCAACCGGAAAAAAAAAGTTACAGTGTTAACGGGCCCACATGCTATACAATGTTACATTTTATGTGCAAAATCTTGTATCTTCCAAGAATCATCATCGCGTGCCCATCTTCGGTCCGGTCAGCATGCCAGATACACCAAGTTAGTCTTTCTCTTCTTTCACCAACCCAAAAATACCTGCCCGCCAGGTCATCAGACAATACACAATGTGGGTCCCATCCGGTTACCTTAATTCCAACCCTATCCGATATCAGTAAACTCCCGAGATAACAAACAATCTTCAAGACCCCAGGTGAATCCCGGGTCATAATCATGTGGCACTATATCAAACGAAAGCTCATTGCCTAAATCGATCGAAGATGCATTTAGAAAATCATCCATTGAAGATTCCATATCCGTATCAAACCTTGAACACAAATTAATAGGTGGCATCGATGGTTGTAAATTGGGATCACGGAGTAGGGAAAAAGCTTCGTTGGAATCCATGATTGCTTTCCTTGATTTAGATTTCGACGACTTCAAAGGTAATTCGGGATTCCGATGATGCTTTCCGGATAATTGAGATTTGGCTGGTGTCCGCGACTTGACATCGGTTGCCGGAGAAGCCGATGGCGGCAACCCTAAACCACCATCAATGGCGGCTCTTGATGCAGCATCCCTGCAGAAGAGTTCATGTATAATGTTAAAACGGTAATGTTTCTTTTTTTACTCTTACATTCCAAAAAATAAATTTCACTGTATTTAGTACATGAAAAAAGAATGGGTTAATAGAGCGTACCTGAATCGGCATTCAACGGTATCCTTGGATGATCTAAAACAATGATTCCCGCCGACGGGCAGGTGTTCGGGCAGCACGGGTTCCGTGTCATTTATGGATAAAGACACGACGGAAGGCAACGGAACACTTGGATCATCTCTGCCCGGAGGAAACTCAAGAGTGATTCCCAGCTGCCCGACAGGTCGAACCTCACGTCTTTCACTAAAACTTGAAACCCTATCTTCCCTTGGTATATTTTGAGAACTTTCAAGTGCATCGGATACTAATCTGCTAATCTGCTTTAGGTTAGTGAACTCCATTCTTTCCGATTGTGGCCTGACCGGATCGCGAGAAGTATGGTTTACCCGCTGCCCGGTTCTGAGAGACAATGGGGTTTTCCGGTGACCGGAACGGGCGGTTGATCTCCAGACAGATGTGAGTAGGTGGAAGAAATGCTTTTGAAGAGTGTAAGCCTGATCAGGACGTTCTGACACAATATCCAACAACGACTTTGCATGCTCCTGCATTAGAAAAAATGTCTCACTGTTATAAAAACCACCAAAATTTTATAGGTATAGGAATAGGCATGTTACCTCAGTTACTCTTAGAAGAGCTTTCCCAACACCAACATTACTCGCTTTGTCATTATGAACATTATTGTCTGAACTAGATAAGACGTGTCTCTGAACAAGCTCCCGATACCTCTCACAACAATGAACTGGATGCCTTAGAATCCCCCGGTAAAACCCGCCAGCTGTCATCCCATTCAAAATCTCACTTGCCAAACTCCAGTTCACACCGTATTCATGTACAACTGCACACAGCATAGCATCCTCCGATGACAACCAAGAATCTGGCGTAGGGACACAATCATTAGGCCATATGCTTCCCTTCTTCAGCTTCTCCAATCTTATAGTCATCACCCGTTTCACCGGCATCGTAGTGACCGATATTTTTAGTCCCGATTTGCCCCTAATGACTGGTTTATGATCAATTTCAAGATTGTTATTTACAAAAGGTTTCAAATCTCTCGGTTCATCTTGTTGCTCGATTAAGGAATTGGAATCCATGTCTAATGAGATTGGTTCGGGGTTCTTTTTGGGCTTTTTTGACTTTCTGGAAGAACTCTTCACTTCTGAGGTGGATTCGTCCAAAGGTTTTTTGCGTTTTTTTAAAAAAATTATTTCATCGTCGACATAATCATCATCGAATTCTATTGGTGATTCTATGTTTATTGGCTTTGTTTCGGATGATAAAGCTTCTTTTTTCAGAGATTTGAATTTTGTTTTCTTCGTCTTTTTCTTTGACTTGGGTTTCTTAACAACCGGTTCATTCCTGCTCAGATGGGAGAAGAATAAGAAGCATTCAGATCAAGTAAGTACTCAATCAGCAAATGACCATTTTACCCTTCTGTCCAAGAGTAAAGTGGTAAAAGTTTGTGAGGGTTAAGAGTAAAGTAGAAAAAAGAAGGGTCTGAATGCATAAACCCTACCTCCTTTCACTTTACACATTAAGAAATGAGAAATGAGGCCTAAAAGCTTTTTAGAATACAAACTTACTTCAGTGAGTCAGATTCCTCAAGTTCCTTCTCTCTAGCTTCCATTTCACGCTCTTCCATCAACTACAAAACATTAAAAGATTAAAGATAAGCGCTTAAGAGTACCTATTAAAAATAAACGTAAAATTACCAAACTACCCCTACCTGATGTTCAGCCAACGCTTTGACTTGTTCTTGGTATACTTTAGTTGCAAACTCAGTATCCCATGCTGATAACATCACAAAAGGAATTTGTAAGAAAACCAATTACCGAAATAAATATAAAATTACCAAGCTACCCCTAGTGGTAATGAAAAGAGCACAAAGAAGGAGCTTACTTTCATAAACCAAAGGTTCCTCATCATCATCACCTTCAGCTTCCATATCCTCCTTTAACTTCTCAATATGATCCAACTCCCATTCCTCTCCCTCAAATCTATCCTTTGACTCAATAACCACATTATCAACAATCGGGTCCCACATCTCAAGAAACCGAACCGCATACCGATCAATCGGACGCAATTGATTCTCAAAAGACAAAATCTCCTGCCCCGAGGCTGCAGCCGCCACAGCCATCTGTTTCACATCATCCGCCATGTCATCATCATCACCATCATCACCCTTGACCAAAGTCAAACCCGGGTCCCCATTCGGGTCGCTACAAATAACCATTTCCCGATTATTACCCTCCACCTGTCCCGTTCCCAACTCCTCAAATTTTCCATCTTCTTCATTCAAAAGCTCATCATCTTCAAGCTTCCCAATCGCCTCCTCAGTAAACTCCTGATTATCCACCGCCTCTTCCTGCTCCACTTTCTTCAACGCCATGTAATCCGCTTCATCTTCCGCATGTTTCAACGCCGCCTCAACATCGGCATTCGACACCGGAACCGGAACTGGAACCGGAATCGCAACTCCGGAACCGGAATTCTTCCCGTGACCGGAAAACAACTCCAACGGATCAAGCTTCTTGAAAAACTCAGTGTTATACTCCCCACTCTGAATCACCAAATCATCTAAAGCCCGTTTCTGTTTCGCCTTTTTCAAAATATTCTCTTCAATCGTGCTTTCACTGATCAATCTGTAAATATGCACTTCACGTGTTTGCCCAATCCTATGACACCGATCTTGAGCTTGTTGATCCATGGCTGGATTCCAATCACTATCATAGAAAATTACCGTATCGGCCCCGACAAGATTAATCCCAACCCCACCACTCCGGGTCGACAAAATAAAAAGAAAATACTTCGGATTTGTATTGAACCGTTGCATTAATGTCTGCCTCTCTTCGGGCTGGGTCGACCCGTCTAACCGCATGTAAGTGTACCCGTATATATTTATAAAAGCTTCCAAAACATCAAGCATTTTAGTCATTTGAGTGAAAATCAAAGCCCGATGACCTTCCGATTTTAACCTTCTTAACAAAACCGCAAGCTCTTGAAGTTTACCACAGTCAAACTGTATCAACCGCCTATCGGGAAAGTAGACTTGCCGCCTGACAATGGCGGGTCTGATTGGTGTTAATAGTGGGGACAAAAGTGTCAAACATTTTGTTTTATAATCTTGGTTGACAAACACAGTGGTGCCCGGTTTGCTGCACCACCCGACCGGTGGTGGTGCTCGGGCAGCCGGGATTGCAAACATGAAACTTTCAACCTGGTCAACCATTTGATTGAACCGGTCAACGGGAGAAAACACAATGTCATGTAAACCCGAAAGGGTAGAAATGGAATTTTCCACCGAAACAATTTCCCGTAAACCCGTTGAATACATTGGTTTTCTACGGGCCCGCAAAGAATTCCACCATGCAACCGATTCGGCTCGTGCTTTCATTTCTTTAAGTCTCTCTTCCATGAGCGCTTTTTGAATCTCTTCAAAGATGTTAAACCCGGTTGACCGGGTCGACCCGGTCTTGATCTCGAGTCGACTCATGGATTCTTCTACTACACGTGATTTGATTAGTTCAGAAGGTGTGGCAATTGATTCAACTTCTTCGGTTTCCCATGATGTCATGTCAAAATCAAGATGAGTGAACACAAACCCTAATCCAGTAAGATCAACGGTTGAAAACGGACCGGATTCAAGAACCGAGCAAATCGAAGAACAAAATTGGGTTTCGATTCCATTCATATCAAATGAACTGATAATCGGGCGACCTTCGAATAAATCCGGATGATTACAAACTTTTCTTAATTGCATTATAACACTAATCATCCCGAAGAAGTTAGAACTTTGAAGGGTTGCTTGAGTCTCTGAGCTAGCAATGAAATCTTCATAGAGATTTCGTTGTCTACGCGAGAGTCTACAGTAGATAACATGTTCGTGTTTTGAAGGTAATTGTTTTTCAACATCCCGTTTCAGTCGCCGGAGGATAAATGGCCGGAGAACATTATGCAACCGGTCAACGACTTCCTTGTTGACTTTTTCTTGACCTTCAACCATTCCTGTTATCGGATTACTAAACCAATCTTTAAACTCTTGATGAGATTGAAAAATATGTGGCATCAAGAAATGCATTAGAGACCATAGCTCCATGAGATCATTCTGTAAAGGGGTACCCGTTAAAAGTATGCGTCTTTTTGTGTTGAAATTCAAAAGTGTTTGCCATCTTTGAGACTTCCAATTCTTTATCAAATGGGCTTCATCCAAAATCAAGTATCTCCATTTTTTCCTCTTGAAAATCTTGGAATCTTGAATAACAAGTCTGTAGGTTGTGATGCAAACATGAAAAGAATTCGGTTTCAACCACCCTTGTCTTTTATGTTTCCGTTCTTTTGCACTTCCAAAATATGTCAAGATTTTGAAAGCAGGACACCATTTTAGAAACTCGGTTTCCCAATTGAGCATGACACTTGTGGGGACCACAATCAGATGTGGGCCCCATATACCCTTTTCGCATGCCAGGTGTGCAAGAAGCGCGATTGTCATGATTGTTTTCCCGAGCCCCATTTCATCTGCTAAAATCCCATTAAGTCTTTTTTCATACATTGTTACAAGCCAATCTAACCCGATGTGTTGGTATTCACGAAGAGAGAATTTTAATAGAAAAGGGTATTTTGTCCTGACTTTGGTTGTTAAAAAGGTGTTCCCTGTCGGCTGTGCTGACCTGGCGGCGGCTGCTGCATCAGCAATGATGTCATCGTTCTCCCCGCCATCGTCAGCAATCTGATCTGGCTTCTCTTCCTGATCGGGAATTTCAATTTCGGAGCCTGAATCATTTTCATCACTTTGAATAGTGTCAGGATCCTGTTGAAAATTAAAAAAACGAGACAAAAAAAAAAAAAAAAAAAAAAAAAAAAAAACAAGATTAGAATGTATCTAGAAGTTTCTAGAAGCAAGTTTTCATTTTTATCAACATACCTGTCTATACCTTGCAAGCAACTCCTCTATTGGAATTTCACTATCCTTTTGCAACATTGCAAGCTGAAAGATGATATAGCTTGGTTTATAAGATTGATCTCAACTTTTAAAATTTTATACTAATAATAATATAATCATGGGATCAATGTAATAATAAGATAAAAATGTGCATTCAAATCATTCACCTCATCTACTGAATCATGATTTTCAGTCTTTGCTAGTTCTTCTTCCTCCAATAAGGTCGTTTCATCATCCTGTAAATCCAAAAACAGATAATGAGATAACATGTTTATGTTATTAGATAAACTCAGAAATCAAAAACATAATAAATCTCATAACTATGTATACTAATCATATCATGATAATTGGATAACATACCTTTTCCTCTCCATTTGCAAGTACAAAGTCGACATCCTCCTACATAAAAGAAATCAAGAAATCAAATGAGTATTCGATATATGTGAAGATAAGATGTTTCTCTTTTACTTACATTCTCATCATTGAAGTCCAATTCCAAATATTTTTTTTGCTTCTTAAGACCTTTACGTTTTCTAACATAATGTTCTTTGACTTCTGGATGATGATTTTCTAAAACTGATAATCCACCATTACTTTCAGCCTGCAATAAGAGCAAGAAAAGTATGATGCTCAACAGTGAAGTACTTCACATTTTAGGTTAGTAACCATAATGAGAACCTACAACTTACACAATGACGACTCTCTTTTAACCCAAGGTCAGAATTGTCATTTCCATTACCTGCAAAAAAACAAATCAGTTATAAAATATGATTATATGAACACGCTATTAATAATCAAAACAATAAATTCAAACAACATTACTTACATAATAAGTTGTCCTCTGGTGCATGGGCTAGTTCTGCTTCACCTTCAGTCTTTCCTGGAGTACTTTCTGAAAATATTTTCATATTCATAGATAAAAGAATAAAAGTTAAAACCACCATACACATCCAATGAGAAGATGACATGTGGCAGAAGAAGAAACTCACAACAACTAACCTTCATTAACAGTATAACGACGAAGTAATTCCTCAAGGGGTAAATCCATTTCATTTTGCAAAGCTGTTAATTCCTCTCTCCTTTCATCTTCTGTTATGAGGGCTTCATCTTCCTCAAGGGTATGCTCGTCATCTTCCTAAAGCAGCAATAAAATCGAGATATTTGAGCTCAACTTCAACTCATATGAAATATTACAACAAGTTAAAAAGAAACTGATGATGATACTATAACTTTTATTTGCATTTTTCTTCCCAACAAATAAAAACAAATGAGGTTTCTAACAATTAAACATAAAAAGAGCAAATACTTACAGGTTCATTTTCAGCCTTGTAGTCTTCGTCAGTTTCTAAAATATTTGACTGGGACTCTGCCAAAAGATTAAAAAAAAAAACACGTTTAAAATGGGATTTATGTCATGATTTGGCAACCAAAAAGAAATTTACTTAATTTAAAATGAAAACCAACACTTTCTTCATACCAACATTTGGTTCAGCACACCCATTAACATCACTCTGATCTTTATATTCAATGGCAGGTCGTTGTTCTTGTACAGATGACAGCTGGACATGCTGACGTGGCGACGAATCTACAAGGTTCTCTGCCAGCATTGTTGAATACCTGTTTCATTGAAATAATTAGATGTTAAACGTTAAACAAAACAAAACTTTATTACAAAAAATGTTACCTTTCTGTTTGGCCTAAAAGAAATTCAAGTTGTTTATCAAGTGCTTTTTTCTTCTTTTGATCAAGCTCTAATCGATGCTTGTATAGCACCTGAAATCACATAATATTTCATGACCAATTACAATTTTGGACCCAAATTATAAAGTAATTTAAAATTCCAACATCACTAAATCATAGAATAACTTGCCAGCTTCTCGATTTTTGTCCAAAATTTCTTCACATCCTTTGAAATATTAAGTGCAACTTTTTTCATCCGAAGCTCTTCCTCCTGTGAAAGCATTGACAAAAATGAACACCACATTCATATGTAATTAGATATTTCATATGATTGAATTTTAAAATTTTCAAACCTAGGAGAACAAGAAAAAGAACAAGAACAACTAACCTTCACTCGTCTTTCACCTCTTGTAGCTTGATCCACCATACCTTTACTAGCCCTTATGGCAATTCTCTTTGCCAGGCCTAATTTAAATTTCCTCTCAGACTCAAAATCCTGGAAGTAATCGTACATTGCAACAAAATTTTCACTTAATTAATCTAAAGATAAGAGAGAATATCTAATATTTTGACACAAAAACATTTGATATAGAACAAGATTGTACCTTTGATAACCACACCATCTCTTCTAAAAGATGGTCCCAGTGTGTTCGGGGCCTCTGGGGTTCCTTGGGTGGTTCAAGTGCCTATGATAATCAGACATAATCATATAAATATATCAATGTCATTGACTTTAGTCAAACTTATCACCTTCTGTTTTTAATTTCTTCTTCTAATCATTTGACTACAAGAAACCTCTCATATATAAATGAAAACTAAATGCATTTGGCAGATGAAAAAAGCAAGAAGAAAAAAAAAAAAAAACAAGATTGAATAGATGAAATGATGAAATACATACAAATTGGAGACAGATCTATATGCAATATGTTTAGGTTCTGCAGATTACCTTTTGCCGTTTGGCCCTTGTCTCATGATCAAGTCTAGACCTTGGACCTTTAGAGGCCATGACTTCCTCAAAATTCAGGACATTACTTCAAAAAATCTGCATCAAACAACAAAAATCAGGAATTTTTCTTTGAAGTTCTCAATCAAATGGCATACAAAGTTCTTAATAGGTGTAACATTATTTGGAGGATTAAACTTTGGAAGTACAAACAAGGACACAGACATGTACCATTCAAATGGCTAAAAATAATCCGAATGTAGTAAATTACGGTTTTTAGAAGAAAATTATAACTAAAATGTACTAAACTAAAACCTTCAGAATTAAATTTTCGCTCTTCGCTGATAAGAAATCATAAGACAACCATTCAAGCTTCTATATTTCTTTCTTTTTTCTTTCTTGTTCGTTCTTTCATCCTCGGGAAAACCCAGAAAGGAAAAACAACAAATCTTGCTTAGAGAACATACGCAAAATCAACAATTGCATGCATGTATACACGTATATATGTGTGTACAAATTCAAGAACTCACCAGCTATAGAACAAGAAAAAGGAAAGCTCTTCGATCTTTACCGAAGCAAACCCAACTCAAGGAGCAATCAGTTGAGTTTTCTGGTAACTTTTAGGGTTTCGGAGATTGATGAAGAAGACGGGTTTAAGCGCCGACGAGTAGTTCAGATCCGGTAAATTTATGATTTTTGAATTAATTATATAAATTTAAAGAAAATAATTTTGGGGAAAATCGAAGAGAAAGAGTCTGTGAATCTTGGTTTGATGAGGAAGGATTTGTTAGGGCAAAGAGGCGTGGGAGGATTTAACGAATGGAGATTGACGGAGTAAAATCTTGACGGCTGAAAATTTTGAGTTTTTTATATTATTATCGTAAAAAAGAGAATAATCCATTTACCAAAAAGGGCTAAACAATACACCAATTTACCTAAATTCCCATTAAAACAAAACATGTTTTAGTAAAAAAAAAAAAACGGTAATTTGGTAAATATATATTGGGATAATTTTTGCCCAATCGTCAAAGGATATATATTTTTGCCATCAAAGAACCTTCTACATTTTATTTTGGAAAAATTTAGGTTTAATCAATTATCACTGTTTGAATATCAAGTATCTTTTCGGTAGGCCTGGCAATCGTGTCGTGTTCGGGTTGGCGTGTCACGGATTGGCGGGTCAAAATAGGCCAACCCAAACACGACCCATTTAACTATACAGGTCACGGGTTGGCGGGTCACGTGTTGGCGGGTTTGGAACATAAACCCATATATGACCCACCAACCCATTTATTTATACGGGTTCACAAGTTGGCGGGTTCATGGGTCAGATTTGGGTTCGTGGGTCCAAATTTTAGATATTTAAGTCTTAAACATCCAAATGAAAATTAAAAACATTCATAGAAACATGTTACAGACTTAGCCTTAAAGGTTACGACTTATGACCTTAGACCGTCCACCACGAGTAATAATGTCAAAACAATCACATGGTCTATGAATAAATGGTATATATTATATAATACTTATTAAATATTAATATTTGATACATAAATACATTTAAAAATATAATAATTTTTTATTAAGTATATAAACGGGTTGGCGGGTCAACCCGTTTATTTTTTGAGAAACCCATATATGACCCATTTAATAAACGGGTTGGCGGGTTGACGGGTTAGCGGGTTGGTGGGTTGAAAAACTCAACCCAAACCCATTTATTTCGTGTCGTGTCGCGGGTCGTATCGCGTGTCGTGTCGAGAATTGTCAGCCCTACTTTTCAGGTTGACAATGGAAAAAGAAGTGATTATTGAAGTGATAAATCACATAAATACCCCTAGCAATTTTATTATTTTTATTTTTATTTTTTTGAGTATTTTACATTAATGGTCTGTATGGTTTGAGTAACTTACACATTTATCCTTAAAAAAAAAAAAATTGACCTAGACGGTTCTCAAAGCATAAACTAGTTACACGTTTGGTCCCAGACTTAACAATTTGACATGTTTAAAAAGTTAAACCCACCGCATGTCTTGCACGTATGGGCATTTTAGTCATTTTTAATTATATTATCTATACCATCCTTTGAAAACTAAAACGTTCATGAAAACTACACTGAGGAGAAAAGAAAAGATCGTGTATCATCAACATGGGTAAAACCCTCCCACAAGAAACCCCTAATACCAATACTTCAAGAACAAGCTCAATGCAGTGATCACTTGGAACATACGTGCTAGAATAGAAAATTTTGATGTTGGTCCTGGATATGGTATGTTTACACTAACATTATTAACTTGTTCATTTATCCAAAGTTTTAATCTTTTACCTCATTAAATAGGTCGTTACCCTACGATATTTTCCATTTGTTCACACCATGGTGTGGAATTCACAAAATTTATGGAAAAAGGTATCTCAATGGGAACTAACACTATGTTGACTTTGGATATCGACACATTTTCTGTTCACGATATTGACGAGTTGATGGAAGAACTTAGGTGTGTTAGTGATGGTAATTTTCTATACTATCATTTTCAAAGACCATTCAACGATTTGGATTTCAGAATGTTTTTTTTTTGGTTGGTGTCCAGTATGTCCACCATTTAGGTATATTTGTTAGCAATAAGATAATTTACACATATACAGCATGGGGAAACAAGTAGCATGCATACTTAATGTCCCTCGCGTCTAAGGTACATATAGATGAAATTGAGCAAGCTCAACATGTTCAAAAATGTTGTTTTTAAATTGGCATGACAATGTTACACTCATAGTTGAGTTAGACAAATAACAACAAAAAGTTAAATCTCATCCGCTTTAGTTGGACAAACACATACAACAACTTAAATCACTTACTCTTGACTTGGACAGAGACTAACAACAGGTTGAATCGACCTACAATTAACTTGGACAAAGACCAACAACAAGCTGAACATAAGGGTTTTACAAATAATATTGATTTAGAAAAAGATTTTGACGATAACAGTATCAATTGTGATGACTTTAATGATGATCATAGTGATAGTAATGATAGTTATTATCTTGTGGGTGAGGATAATTTTATAGATGATGTTAATTTCTATTTACACATAGACAAGGGTGATGAATGGTTTTGAGGTTAGTATAAGACAACGGTAATTGAAGTTATAAAAAAGACATTAAAGTAGTTGATAATGAGGTTTTGTTGTTTGGGTCTTCATTGGATGAATGAAAGGAGGTGAAGAAATTTATTAGAGTTCTACAAAAAAGCATATGAAAATAATGAATCTCTAGTTAGTGAGCCCTTCTATATGTTTTCATACTTTTACTTTGGCAAAGGAGTTTAAGGATCGAGTAAAATTACATGTCTTTTGGTCAAAACTGTATCAAGTGTGATTCAACCAAATTAGTGAAAGTTGTGGTGTTGTGATTGAAATGTAATGCAAAAAACATAAATACCAAACACATGGATTATGAGGAAATCCCTTGCTCTTATCAAATATCTGGCATAAAACCTGAGGAGTTGGCAATCGTCGAGTTACCTTAGAGCTTTTATAGATTGAATGATTTTAGTATAAAAATGAGATTTTTTGCTAGTTGCTAATTGTTGAAAGTGTTTCATGTGTATACATGTGTGAGTTTGGATTCTTGTTTATACATAACATTCCTAATGGTTATCAATGATACTGTTAAATCTTGACAACGTTTTCTATTTCGAGATTCTTGGAGACTAGCTTTTTTTGTGTTTCTTTATAAGATATTGAATTGACCGGATCTTTGTTGACACATTCAACACCTGGATCACAGAGATAGATAGATAAAGGTAAAAATAATATGTTTGGTACCTTCAACATCTTGAGAAAGATGTTAGTCAATATCTCACCCGCTATGTTATCTCGAATCTCGCATAAGATGTAACAACCCATTGGTTACAACCAATTTTTTTCATTTTTAATTTAGGTAAAAAAAAACATTTTGTCCATAAAACCAAGTCAATAAAAATCAAAAGTATCAAAATACAATTATTCATATAATCAGTTTTAATTTAGGTAAAAAAACATTCTGTCCACAAAGGTTATCGATGAGTGTGTACAGTTAAGCCTTCGCCTTCCTACGATCATCTGAAGTACATGAAAACACTTAATCCACAACCATAAGCACAAAGATTAGTGGGTTTCCCAAAATATCGTATACAACACAACATAATAATCAATTATGGGTTATAAACAACCATGGGACTATCAGCAGTCATATGGGCTCACAGCAGCCCTATGGGTTATCAGCATCTGCTAATTTCATTTTATTACTTCTTTTCCTAGTTTATTTTAGCACAAATCATCTCATTTTAGTTACTCTTATTGCATATTTCATATTTTTATTAGTTTTTTATCTTTAAGCGGGTTCTTTTATGTGTTATCAGCAACCCTAGGACTATCATCAGGTTCAGTTGTAACACTCGGTTCCTGATACGTATTCTAATTTAAAGTAAACCCATGTTTTGCTCTGGGACTCGGCGAATTGGAGGCTTAACTCGTCGAGTAGACTCGACTTTGGTTCGACAGGATAAGTGACCTACTCGACGAGTTGGGAGACTAACTCGACGAGTAGGATTGTCTGGATGAAACCCTAATATTTGGGGTTTGCACCCTATTTAAACAAATCATAACATCCCAACCCAGCCTCCATTGTTCCTCCCATCCCATAGAAAGCCCTAACTTGAACCCTAAGCCTCTTCTGAGTTGTAACGACCCAAAAATCATGACTAAAAATTTTGTTTGAAAAACATTACTTAAACCATGATTGTCAATCCATAACATAATTCCGAACATAAAATCAGAGTATTAGTTCAAAACATGTTCTTATTATCAAAGTAAAACATCCCAGACTGACTAACTATGGTGTGTGCCATGCGATCATCCCGAGCTCTTCCCTCCATTGCCGGAAGTACCTGAAACCAAAACTAAAAACTGTAAGCACGAAGCTTAGTGAGCTCCCCCAAACTACCACATACCATACAATAACATATGTGGTTGGTATTTTAGGGGTAACTCACTAAGATTTCGGGCTTACAGTTTTCAGTGTATTGTTCTAGGTACTTCAGGAGATCGTGGCAAGGCGAAGGCGTGATCGTACCGCTCCTCGTGTTTTATGTATTTATGATGTGGTTCTGGGAAATACTCTGATAATAAATGAATTGAAAACCTTTTTGTAATGAATTAATGAATACGAGTGGTTTTTGAAAAGTTTAAATTGGTTGAATTTTTTTGGATGTTACAGGTTAGGTTTAATCAAAGAGCTTGTTTTGGTTAATTAATGTGGTGAATGGGAAGTGTTAGATCTTGTTAAGACTTTCAAGTACCAACTTAGATAGAATTGAACAAATATTGTGTCATCTTTGAATCACATTGCTAAGTTGTCGTACATGAAGTTGGAGTCTTTACACAATCTGAACTTATTTCACTCATTTAGCTAATTACTTGTGTTTTTAATTTGTTTGTTTAAACACTGCATTCAAACCCCCCTCCTCTTTATTTTTTTTTGAACAAGTACCTTACGCAAAGAGTTATTCGACCGATTGTCCCCGTGTCTCTGTGGATCGACCCTTCTTGCCTTGTACTACCTGCTAGTGTAATATAGTGGGATTCTCTAGGAGTATATCATACCCCTTTATTTGTTGGGTTTGACACGACTAACAACCCATGAAAGGATTTAGGCCCAACTTGGAAATTGTGCCATATTTTGGGCCTTAGATGTTTATTTTGGATGTTGGGCCTTCTGTCATCTAGTTTGGGTGTGACAAACCGATATTTCGACTCTATGCAATGACCTAAAAAGTCATGTATTGTAACAACTGTT